TAAATCACCGTAGAAGTACACAGAAAAAACACTCTGTGCGTCGGTGGCACAGTGGTTAGGACTCTCACCGACCATGCACATGGTCCAAGGTTCGAGCCCACGCCGACGCACACTTGATATCTATGGCCGGCCTGCAAAATTTGGGCTACCGATATCCATGCTGAAAATGCCATACTTGTACCAAAAAAACAGTGTGGAATCAAGCTGTAATCAAAAAAACTAAAAAATATTAAAAAAAATAAAGCATCGAAGTCTTCAAATGAATAGTGACATGAACACTAGAGCCACTTATTTTTTGACTTTGGCATCAGTATTTCCCACTGTATTACGTAACATTAAGGCTTCATATGATTCACAAAATGGACTAACTCACATAACTGTATATGTAGTTACTCAATTATTACAGGAGTACCTGTTTGCAGTAGTTTATTTTGTTGGTGATTTAAAAACTAATGTATATCTATGATGAGAATATACATTAAAAATTTTGAGATAATTTGGGGTCTTAATTGATATATCTAAGGACTTACAGTCGCAAACGCGGTGTTAAGTTATTTGTGTGAAACGTTTTTGAATATCTTTTCGTTGGAACCAGTAACTAGCTAACAAGAACAAAATGTTGAAATATTCAGTGAGATGATCTCTTGTTTTCTTTGGTACCAAATTTGATCTTAATCCTAATATCTTTTCTTTCTCGCACACTGTTCAGTCGACCATCTGTCGAAATTTATCTCGTCTGAGAAGTTTGTAACTTAGTCACGATACTTTCAATACGCTGATATATAAGTGATCTAAATAAGATTGCATACATTTTCCATAAATAAGTGCTTTAATGGCAATTTATATCAAAGTGAACTGAGATATTCATTTATGTTTTTTCCTGATATTTAAGTATAAGTCATTCAGTCCCTGTTGTTCACTTCGAAATATGAAGCAGAAAACATACCTTCTCACGATCACAACAGGTTTGCTGTCATCGTTCGTACTGTAAATTGCTTATTACTTATCAGTGAATATCCACAACGATGCTGCTAATTAAAATTATTTGCAGGAGATTCAGGGAGTGAGTGAAACCCGTACTTATTCTTGAACACGATGTATGATATGCAAATTTATTGAAACACGTCGACGTAGGAAGCATTAGGTTCATGTGAATCAAAACATTTTGATACTTACCCTTATTATCTATTATTCTATTGTTTCACGATTTGTAGCCCAAATGAACAAATATTTCAAATTAAAAAGTCAAATACTTTAAATATTTTCACTGAAAACTCCCTTAACATTACACAGAGAAAGGTCATTTTATTGATTGAATTCCTCCCGAAAATGATATCGAAATAGGTCCCAATAATACCTTAACTTATGCATCCTTATCTCTCAAAACTCTGAGCTATATAACATCCTCGTATGATTGACAAAATCTACTGAGTAGCACAGCCGAATGCATAGGTAATAAATCATTTCAGAAAATACTGGTAAATCATTTCTGTGACTTGGAAACTGTGGTGTAATTCTGAGTAGGTTGTGGCGAAATATGAAGACGTATGTTGAAGCATTTAGAATTAATTGAAATATTACTAGATGACTTTACGTTTGCAGTTATAGGTTTCAGATTGAAAACAATACAAATAACCACAAAAGATGACATCTACAATGCCTTATATCATGACGTTTGGCTGTTCACAAAGTCAACGATTTGTAGATTTTCTGCTTTAGTTTCTGAAAAAATAATGTGCAGATGTTGAAGTACTGTCTCCAATGACCTGCTTTATTTGAGAAATAAGATACTACCTTCCTCGATCCAAGTTTATTCAACTAATTACAATGGGTTTTTTTTTGTTATTCGCAGTATGGATATACTCTATGTGAAACAAAAGGGTTCTATACACTTAAGGTCATAGTTTGCTATGGTGAGATATTTTATGAAACACAATATTGTAGGATTAAGTCTGTGTGAATTTCTATTGCATTCGAATTATTGGCTTTGAGAAGAAAAATCTGTTTTAGGACTGAAAGAAGTTCATGTGAAGGAGAGTATTATGGTTCGACCTTCACTGGCTGTAAAATCAGAAGTTTTAGAATAGATTCGAAGTTCACTTAGTTCACAATCAATTATGGTAATAAGCATGTCTCAGACAAGTTCAGATTTACTGATGTAAAAAAATTTGAATAATACAAAAGTGACACTAAAATATATTAGCAAATAAAAAAAATAAATAATGAATATTTAAATAAATAAGTAATAAACATAATAACGAACATTTTTACAATATACAACGACAATTAGCGTATAGTTAATCACGAGGAGTTGATGGTAAGAATATTCGTTATTGTTTAGAGGTTATATATTGAATGCAGTAATTGAAATTTTGTATATTGAAATCTAATGACTTTCGTTATGTCTCATAAAAACATCAATGTAAAGTCAGTCTCAGAATAAGTTCCACAACCTGTATACATTCTCATGAATTTGTTTTTAGGCATTCGACTTGTTTCAAGTTTGTTCACTGATTGATTTCAGTTAGGCGACCATTGAAAACCAGGGAGTACTAGATATATGTTACGTCTCAGTTTGAGACAAATCGGTAGCACGCACTCACTGTATTTTGAAACCTTAACCATTGAGGTACAAGGCGTGATCAGAGACTATTTAGACACTGGTACCCGACTCACTGGCACATGAATACTGATTTCTGGCAATTCCTGATTCTAGCGCAGCCACCTGCCTAGTGACTGCCTGCAGGGTGAAGTTGTCTCAACATCTGCTAAGAAGTCCTGACCAGTATGGTCCATACTTTCGGGAGTGAGGATAAACGCTGGCCGTTAACACTGGATGATGGTTGCTCACATGTCGCCAACTGGTAGACGTCCGGATATATCGACCATTTAGTCGAGTCACAGAGACTGAATGGTCCATATACTTGCTATGTTTTCTAGTCCGGTGATCGATCCCTGGTGGAATCGTACTTCCGAGGAGTCCAGAAAAGAACGAAATTGCTGTCTTCCATTTTGCTCTCACTGGTATTAATCTGTGATCAACTATGAAAGAGGTAAATAAATACATATATTATACTTGCAGACGGTTATGTTTAAATCAAAATCATATGAAGTGGTTATAGAAATATTTGCAAAAGTAACCGTTGGTGATTCATGAAGCGTGTGTCATCAGAATCTAAAACAAATAAACAAACTCATTTGAATGTAGATATCAGGAAACTAAGAATATTCAACATTTAAATAATGTGAAAAGATAAGGATAAAAAGGCGAACAGTGGATTCTCAGACATCATTAAAATACTTTTTTCATGTGGAAAGGTATTCTGCTTTGAAACCCACTTCGAATTTAATTCACAAAAGAAGTTTAGAAAATTGCTTCACTCTGCTTTTAATCTCTCAGTGTGAAATTTCAACGTTCTATTCCTCCGATGCCAAGTTTTTTTCATTGTAAGGCAAATTGCATTTTGTTTGCTTAGTCAGAAAAAAGATATTCGTAAACATTCTGTGGCGTACAACTAGTTAATCCGTGAATCTTAGAAAAAATGTTTCATTTACACTCAAAGGAATCAGTTTTGTATACTTTAATACATATGATTAGGAAAACCGTTGGAGACGATGTAAAATACAAAGTACTGTATTTCCCGTCAATTGTTACATTGACTTTCTTCTGTTTGGAATTCTTTTGAAATGCTCTTCTTAATCAACTGGTTAGCAATGAACGCCGGTAAGTGTTAATTATATTGAATTCTGAGTAGTAATATTGAAACTGTTAGTTTGCATTTCATCAAATAAAAGTATACATTTGAAAAAATGTGGCATACGCAGTAAATACGTTCAGTTTTGTTAAAACATTCTTTCACTTTTATTTTCAAGTCTAATATCATCATCAAGGCGACAAATGGATGTATATCACGTTGACATACACATGATATATGGATTACGATGTCTTTTTTCAGGATTTGATGAATGACAATGGAATATAGTTAACGAATATCACAACCAATCACAGGATCGCACGAAATTTAAGAGAGAAAGAGAGAGTTGGTGCACGTACTTCTCCTCTTTTAATCTATCCTTCCTTCGCTAATTCAAGAATCTCCTTTCTCTGAGAGAGACACAAACTGGATGAATTACAACATCATATGAAACGATAAGATTTTTTCATAATGAACTATGGTTTATGCTAGTTAATGTTTTAACTCAAAAATGTTTCATATTCATTTTAGAAAAATTGTGTAAGCCTTAGTGATTTTGTGAATGAAACTCAATAAATGTAGTGCTGACTTTGATTGCCACAATCGATTTGCAGACATCGATGAAACCTGGTTGATTCGAGCCACCAATATCAGGAGAAAACTAGGATAAATAGATGACAATATTTGAGAAACTTAAGGATTTCTGTAGGTTGTAATACTAGTTTACTTTCACTTTGTGACAACACTGGAAACATACAGTTTTTTTATTCGTTTTAAGTACACATTGGTTACAAAACTATATTCCATATTAAGTAGTCTCATTTGACAGGTTGTCATCAACTTCTGTAGATGCTTGTAACAAAGTGTAGCTCACCTCAGTTTAAGGTGGCTGTATTCACAAAATAACGATTCGTGTTACGAATATCGGACTCGCAAGTTTCATGAACATTGCGTCCTTGTAATGTTTAATCTGAAAATACAAATGAGTTGTACAAAATATTTGTGACCAGGTGAGCAAGCATGTTCGAGTCACGAAGCAAACGAAACACGGGAAACACTTGGGTCAAAACGAAGCTATCAATTAAAGGAGGGCTACAGGGCATGTTTTAAAAAACTCTTTCAATTTTTTATCATAATGTTTCGCTAGATTTTCCGTTCAACTAACTGTATTGTTATGCGTCCTAAGAACAGATCAAAATAGGACAGTAGGATGGAAAGAAGTTAAAATGAAATTTCGCATGACTTACAACAAGATGTGCTCAGTGACACGAAAAAATATATGATGAAGTGCTATATTACACGAATTGCGTCAGTTAAATGAGTTAAATGAGTTATCGCAGGAGTAATTGCATTCTGACATCAGTGATGTCAATTACTAATCATGATTAGACTGATAGGACCTGGGTTCGTTCCCCTGCATCTCCACACGCTTTGATGTGGCGACGCGGTTAAGATGCTTGCACATGCACAAGGACCATGCACATGGTCCAGGGTTCGATCCTCGGCCGACGCCGCACTCCTTTACCTCGCTAAGCCAGAAATAATGCTGGTGAAGAGAAAAGGTTGTGCATGACGCTAGCGACCACATCCCGTAAAACTAAACACTGCTACAAAAACTTCAAGCCGCTAGATTGGGGCCCTATGTTCCACTGGAAACGTCAAGGAAATAAAAAAATAGACTGACAGAATAAAACTATTCAGAAAGTGGTGTGAACATGGGCAGTAATTTTGCTCGAAATATTACTAATAACAAAACTTATCATTGTATGTAAACTATTGAAACATAATTATACTTTATTTGATTTACTCCACAATGTTCAAATTTTCACTGATAAAAATGAATAGACTGCTTTCGCGTACACCTTGTAGATAGCTAAGATTAACATCACAGTGAAAAACACAACATTGATTGAGGCAGAAATTCTTGTTTGTCCAATGACTGTTTATCTTAAACGTAGTTTAGAGCGGAGCAAGTGGCCTAATTCTGCTTTCTCATTTACATTGATAATGATGAGACATAATGTAGATTCGTTGCTCAACTCGTCCCTCTGTGTAGTACGTGATAGGATTTATCTTCATTCTCGAGAACACTGAACCAGTTTGAGATGGATCACAAGAAGTACACAAAACAAGGAGATATTTAATACAGTTAAGCAAACAATATTGTTTGTTTCCAATTAGATCTCATCAGGCTTAACTCTAATATACATAAGTTTACAAATAAAATTCAAATATAAACCAATCATGGTGTTTTGTCTATAGGATAATACGATGGTGAATATAAAATTGTGCAGTTAGTCATAATAGTGGTAATGATAATATCATTAATAGTAATAATAATAATAGTGGTCTTGTCAATAATAAGGATGAAAAAATGAGGCAATCTGTGATAACATGAATAATGAAAAACAGTATGATTAAACAAACAATTGTTCAGGTGGAAGTAGTCGATAAAGGCTAGTAAAAACAAATGAACCGATTACGTAATGTTCGATTGTAGGGGAAGGAAATGAAACACGTTTATAATGAATAAAAGATAAGATTAAGGGATGATAAGAAAGGGGTTGGAAATATAAATAAAGGGTGGTGTAGAAGTCTTTCGTTGGTTATGTCTTACTCACTAACGTACCGCTTTTGGAAACAGTGGATTATATTTGTCAAGAAATCACTGATAGGCAATTAGACTTAGGAATTCCCTTGTGTAGCCTCAAAGAATTACTTCTTAAATGCACAATGAATGTTCACTTCGTCTTCAATAATTCATACTATCGACAAGTAGATGGAATAGCTATGGGTTCACCATTAGGCCCAATATTAGCTGACTTCTTTCTCGCAAAACTTGAAAACGGAAAATTGAAGGATACCATCAAGGAGTTGGATATGTATTACCGATATGTCGATGATACATTTATCTTAGCTGATGAGAAGTTTAACATAGACGAGTTGCTACTTAAATTCAACAACATCCACCCTTCGCTTACCTTTACTTGTGAAGAGGAGCAGGAGAATAAACTACATTTCCTGGATGTTTTGCTAAGTAGGAGAGAAGATGGGTCACTTGGGAGAAGAGTGTACGGAAAAAGCACATTCACAGGGCAATACACACACTTCCGTAGTTACGTGCCCATTAAATATAAAAGGAATCTTGTAAAATGTCTCGCGAGCAGAGCAAGGAAGATATGTACGGAGGACCTCTTACAAAAGGAGTTTGAATATATTCACGATTCCTTGACGGAGATGGGTTATCCGAGTAGTTTCATAAAGAAACATATGAAACCATCAGAGAAGAAACCTGTGACTCTGACTGCACATAAGAAACCTCTATTTATTAAGTTACAATTTAATGGGAACTTATCTAGTGAGATTCTATTCCAAAGACTTTCAAGGAACATACGTAGAACATTTTACGCAGCATACCTATGCTTGTCATTCTCTAGCCGACGAATGATTGGGACGCAAACGAAGGATAAGCTTGATAGTTTTGCCACATCTATGTGTATTTGTCAATTCAACTGCACCTGTGGTGACAGTTATATTGGGCGTACTACTAGACAGCTTAGCCAACGTGTTAGTGAACATCTCCCATCGTGGTTTGGCAAAGGACAGACAAAAACAATCCGTAGCTCAATTCTGTCACATCTAATTGATAGTGGTCATGTAGTCGATAAAACGAAAGCCTTCAAAGTAATTCATCGTATCCCTCCGAATCTTTCTAATAGACTTCGTATTCGTCTACTGCACACAGCTGAGGCGATAGGCATTCGATCTATTAAACCTAAGCTATGCATTCAAAAGAAGTTCGTGCAGACATTATCCCTTCCATGGCCCAATAAGACATAACCAACGAAAGACTTCTACACCACCCTTTATTTATATTTCCAACCCCTTTCTTATCATCCCTTAATCTTATCTTTTATTCATTATAAACGTGTTTCATTTCCTTCCCCTACAATCGAACATTACGTAATCGGTTCATTTGTTTTTACTAGCCTTTATCGACTACTTCCACCTGAACAATTGTTTGTTTAATCATACTGTTTTTCATTATTCATGTTATCACAGATTGCCTCATTTTTTCATCCTTATTATTGACAAGACCACTATTATTATTATTACTATTAATGATATTATCATTACCACTATTATGACTAACTGCACAATTTTATATTCACCATCGTATTATCCTATAGACAAAACACCATGATTGGTTTATATTTGAATTTTATTTGTAAACTTATGTATATTAGAGTTAAGCCTGATGAGATCTAATTGAAAACAATATTGTTCGCTTAAATATGTTGTTCTAAATTTTACTATGGGAATATTTAAAATATTTAATACCTTCATTTTCGTTAATTTGATATGTGGTAAATTTCACTTGTATTTTTGGACATTTTGTTCATTCCAGCTCCATTGTTTTTAATTGTACTACTGATTCTCATACTCAGTTTATGTGGCTATTTGCTGGGTTATTTTCTACTCATTCCTTAATTTGATTATCACTCACTATTATCTACAACGTGGAAAAATTGTGAATGATTCATACTGCATTGTGTAATTTATAATTTGATCTGTAAAAATACAAAATTCCCACTTTTGTGTTTCGGTTTCATTCACACTTCATATTATTGTCTACATATTTTTAGAGGGTAGGAAACCGGTTATTTGTTATACATACAATACCGAAAATGATAACGAGTGTTGAATCCTCGATATTTGTGTGTGTGTGTGTGTGGCAATATGTATTGTGAACTGGTAGTTACAGTGGTAATTTTGATGAAGTTTTCAACTAAGGTATTTATCAATACGTGTCATTTGACAACAAGAATCAACTGAAAAGAGAATATTCGAAGGAGAATACACTTTCACCGGAAAAGAGATACTGAAATAATATGTGCATTGAGGCCGTCTAAAAATTAAAGCTAACGAGAAACAAGTGAACTCCTGTTGAGTCTTTGATAGAATCACTAAATATTAAAAAAATTAAAACAAGAAATATAATCGAAAGTTGATGTTCCTAACTACATTTTCTTATGTCCTCTCAGATGTTTACACCTTTATGTATGATGGTGTTTTCCATCTGCCAGACCAATATAGCCAATGGTTAACTGATATTTTGTACCAAATTCCAAATAAGCTTGAAATCCATAGTTTGAAAGTATGATTTATAATTTCAGTGAAGTAGATTAAATAGACATGTGAAATAATACCATTGTAACCAGTTCACCTACAAGTTTACCGATATCGCATGCTCAAAATTCCATAGTTGTACCAAAATACTCTGTAGAATCAAGCTATAACAAAATAACAAAATCTAATATGTCGTTGTTAGAAATGACTTACTTAATTTGTCAACTAACAGATTTGCCACGATGGACTGAAAAAGACGTAGAGTGTGAAATGCTTGTCTGAGTGAAAAACAGTCATTTCAAACTTGATGACCAGCCAAACCGATAGGCACACGACTCACTGACTTCTGGGACCTGTCCTAGCCTATATTTTCATGCGTTATATCGATCAGGAACGACGAATTTCTTGAGTCCATGAATAAATCAAATACCTTCGAAACACTGTTATTAGGGTTATTATATATTATAGCAAAACTGACCACTCGTATGAGGTGACTGGCCATCTTTACGGTATCTTACCTAACAGGAAATCAATAGTATAGGTTGATATTTCAGTCGGAAAACCCAACCACCGAAAGGAAACTGGACTTGACAACCGTTTATGTTCCATTATTTTCAAGTGCATGTTAGTCAGTGTATTCTGTCTAGGAACTAGAAAGCTGTGTTCACTCAACAAGCTGAGAGGAGTGCACTTTATTGGCATATAACCAGATCAGTGTGGATTTCCTAAGGTATTTAACCCGAATTGCGATAGGAAACAAAACAATTTACTGTGGAAGAGAAGAAAGTCCTTATTTGTCAATCATTTGAGGGACAAACAACACCGCATAAGTTGGTGAACAAAACCATAGTGAACACACACCACTGCTCATCGAGGATTCCGAGTCTTTCAAAATGACAAGTGTTCAAACGAAACCTAAGTTACTATCAAATGCTACCAAAGATAAATTATTCATAGAGAAAATGAGTAGTATTAGTTGCTTACCAACTTCGTAGGTAAATTATTATATCGAATAATTTGACTGCATAACGCACGGTGGACAGTAAGAAGGTGTTTTGATCTTTCGACTTATCCATCTAAATCAATAGTGAAAATGACTCTCCTGGTGAAATTAAATTTTTAGTCATAATAAATGTTTAAATATTACTTTGCCGTTAAGCCGAACATTTCAACTCCTGTCAGATTGCGGTATGATTATCACATCAAGAAAAGACATTTTACAATTTCTTATGACTCAATATGGGAATATTTCGATCATTTTACAATTTCACAACCCGTTTTTATAACTTCATAGGATACTATGGAAGCAGTGACTGTATGTTCTAAGAGCATTCTGAAGAGTACAGTGATATTCAGGGGTAAAGAATAATAATAATATAAAAACTGAGTTATGAGATATTTCAGGTGTGGTAAGTAGACTGATTTGGTAAGTTTCAATAGATCTAAGTGCAAACGACTTAGGTATTCAATGTCTTTAAGAAGCTTGAAGTACATTTACAAACGTTTCATCACAAACCTGAACTCCTCACGACCGTTTCCGACTAAAGAACATGACAGTATATTCATAAAATGTCAGCATAACAATTTATTTACATTTATTATTCTTCGTCTTTTCAATAATCAGTGATTACTGTCAAAAGAATTCTTGAACAGTATTCGCCACTTTGAGGAGAAGGTATCCTCCAACTTCATATTTAAAATCGTTTCTGCGGAACAACGTAGTCTATTCAAGTTAGCTATGCACAAATTCACACAGTATTCATTGCTGGACAATCGACAGGTTTGGTCACAACAGAAGAAAATTTCATGACTGACGTAGACAACATTATAAGTGTCATGTTACAGTAATAATATTGGCACAGTTGATATTCGTTATCATTATTCTAACGTATTCCACTCAGCCATATAGGAATAAGGAGGATATCACATGCTGCGTAATGCATTATTTAAAAAAGGAAATGTTGACAGATTGAGTCATAAGAAAGATGCACAAACAGAGAGGAAAGTTTTCTTTTCGATGATTCATTTTAATGAGCTGTACAATCGTAATTACATTATTTTTATGACTTTTATTTCATGATATGGGAATATTTAGCACCATTAATTCTTGCATTTATATTAATCAAAAAATTCCATAGACATATCGGATACTGGAAAATTTGTCCTTGAAAAATGTAGTACATAATGTAAGGGGTAAGCAGTGTTATTACTAAACAGTAATAAGATTGCTTTTTCATACAGATTTTGTATAAAAACACTCAATCGCTTTTCCACTAGTTCCTGTCATATTTACACAACTTTATTTTGCTAAATCACACAGTGTTATACAGTTATGTTAACTGATGACGTTCCGAGCACAAACTATTGCTCATAATGAAAAGAGCTGTCTGAATTTAGGCATAAGATAGACCATTCCATTCTATAATTTTATGATTATTTAGAAACAATGTTCACTGCGTTGACTCTTATTCTTTTATTCAACTTAGTGACGCGACAATTAGTTAATCGGATTCAAAACCGTTCACGTTCCCTACCGTATAAATGTACTCTGAAATGTAATCAAAGTACCACCATCGAGATATTTCGATTTTGTACAAAATTTAACGCAAATCAAAGAATTTCGTAAATCAAAGTGCACATCTTTATAAAATAATTGATTGATTTCAAACCATATTATATATTTGAACAAGGCACTAAGAAGTCAAATTTCGCGAGATGATATCATTTCGTAGTTTCTTTACAATCGCTTCACAACTAACATGGTTAACAATGATAAAATAAAGTTCATGAAAATTACTCAGTTAAATTCACAGTATTTTGCAATGATATGGTAAAAAAGACCATAAGTTCTACCGAAGAAAAATTAACAAAATCTTTGAAAGACTCGAATCATACTTTGGAATTTCCTCAAGATATCCACAAACATATAATTAATTTATCTACATGCACTCTATCCCAACTACAGTTGGAAGCATTATCTTATGGAATGAAGTACAAAACTATTCCCATGAAAATTAACAAAATGGAAGTCCAGTCACAGTATGAAAACCTGTATGACCAAATCTCTGATTTAACTCCCTCTAGTAGAGATAATCTGGACTGGTTTAAAGTTAAACTGGTGGACATTTCTCATCAATTTCTAAATGCTAGAATACACCAGAAAAATGGTTTATCAAAAGAACACCACGCCGCACTTAAGGAATTAATCGAAAAAGATAATCTTGTGATCCTTAAACCTGATAAGGGAGAAGGCGTTGTCATTATGAACAAATCGGATTATCAAAATAAAATGAACGATATCCTCAAAGATCAGTCCAAATTTCTGCTGGACAATGCTACTGATAACGTGCTGCTTGTGGAAAAGCAGATCAATCGTCAGCTTCAGATTTTACTGATGCATGGTTTTATAAATGAAAAACTTTATAAACAACTTAAACCAATTGGGTCACATACTCCTCAGCTTTATGGTCTTCCGAAGATCCACAAAACTGGGAACCCACTGAGACCCATCTTAGACATGTCAAATTCTCCTTATCATAAAATCGCCAAATGGATTACAGAGGTCCTTACGCCTGTAAGAGACTCATTATCAAATCATTCTGTAAAAAGTTCATTTGATCTTACAGAAATGCTGGACACCTTGAACATTAAGGAAAAGGTTATGTGTTCAATTGACATAGAATCTTTATTCACCAATGTTCCCCTTCATGAAACTGTTGATTTTATTTGCGATTACATCACAAGCAACGGCATAAACTTACCCATTCCCGTCACTTACATCAAAGACATAATCTTAATGTGTACAGAAAATATTAGATTCACATTCCAAGAAAAGGCA